TCGTTCGTTTTAGGTTATGTTGCTTTACGGTAAGAACCATATGTTCCCACCACCTATGCCACATTTCCTGTTCACACTTGACCTATGAACACTTAAAGGGGACATATTATGAAAAATCCACTTTGACAGTGTTTTTGAACATATATTTGAGTAACCTGAGTGTCTACCGACCCACAAAATGTGAAATAAACCCATCCAGTCCTTTGTTTGTGGTCTGCATAAGTCTTACAACACAGAACAGAGAAAAATGTTCTGTTTCAAATGTGCTCTCCTTGTGATGTCACAGTGGGATTCTGGTAAAAAAAAAGTACCCTCCCCCTCCCCTGATATCTCCACCCATGGACTCCACCCCCAGCCTAGAACAAAACTTTTGCGCAGGTCCGCCATTTTTATTCTCACTAGCGAAGCAGTGTTGTCTACCGGGAAAACTCAGGGGGGCTCATTTCATTTAAAGAGACACACACACCAAAACGGAGCGTTCTGAGAGAGCTGGTTTATACAGGGTCACAAACCTCCTCTGAGGCTTGATTCATGTTATATTTTGACCAAAGCACAGCACAGATGTTTCATTTAGACCACAGGGGACTGTTAGAAAAGGTGGAGAAGGGGGATGATATGTCCTCTTTAACCATACCACCATACCACCTAACCATTTAACCCACACTATCAACTATCACCACTTAGTGTCCAAATTACATAAATAAATAAACATATAAACCAAAACCATTGAAATACAATACATAAATACACACACAGCTCCTACAGTATAATTTTCCACAGTTTATAAAGACTTTTCCTTTATTGCTTGTCAAAACAACATAAAAAAATAACAGTTAAAATCACTTTTTTTTGTATAAATGCACATGCACAGCTGAGGTAGAGTAAATGTAATGTAGATGTTATCCACAGAATACTGCTGCAAACTAAATGTGACATGATTTCACATTTCCACTCTGCAGTTTAGAGAAGATGACTGCAGATGGAGAAATTAGCTCTATAGGCTTTGAAGTGGGAAAAGCCTTGAATACCATCCAGTAATGACTGCAGGTTGTCCTATTCAGATTTTTTTTTTTCTAAATGGATTTTGACATTTATTGGCCAGGCAGAGCTTCTTGAGGCCTTTCAAACACAAATGCAAATGACTAACCCACAGCCTTGGGAGTCAAACTAATTAAAACTTATTATCATTCCCAACGTGAGGATCATTCAAGCAGAAGATGATGAAACCTGGGCTTAAAGGAAAGTGTATTTCAGATTATATTGGCAGCCAAATGGACAGAAATGTGCAAAATTAAAAAAAAATGGTATAGCTCAAAAATGTCATCAAGTTTTTTCAGCAGTAAAATGTTTTGGATTGTAAGAGAAAAAATTTGGCAACGAAAAACATTTGTTCAGGAAAAGCATCAGTGAGTGATGGGATAATATGAGCGGGAGTACTTACAGATGTAAGCACAGGACTGAATTAATACATGCTGGGGGTTTATCAGCTCAGTGGTCAAATGTCAGATGAGGCTTCATAGTTATGCTAATTAAAATCAATTTGGTGATAATAAGTGAAAGGAGCCTCTCACACCCTTCTATATTTTCTTGTGTATCAAGTTGGGCGACAAGAAATGCAGAAAATAAGCGTAACCAGTTTACCATTATCGTCTTGAATTAAATTTCATTGTAACAGAATATTTTAGATTGCATGTGCATCTGCTGCTTTGGGAAAGCTTGTGAGGAGATCTGGGTTTCAGTAAATATATGTTTCTAGTCACTAAAAGCAACACAGTAAGCGGAAAACTGCTGTAAATTTACACATTTATGATTGTACCTTGAAAGCACAGTTTTGCAAAATGCAACATTTGTGTTACAATGATGATGTATAATTTAATACTCGACCTCACTTCTCTTACGCATTACTTAAGTTCTGCAACAACAACCACTTCTCTGTCTCGCTGCTTTCCCAGCAACATTTTGATAGCAGCTTACAACGTTTAAGAGTGTTTTTTGTTTTTTTTGTGGTTAACATTTCCAGAAGAAGACATAAGAGCGGATACTTTCAAAGGCGTTCACAGGCAAGGAACACATCAACAACAAATGATTTGTATTCATTATATTTGAATTGATTTCTCTGGACTTTTGTTGCTAATGTTCTTGCTAATCATTTTGAGACAACTTCTTTGGAATCCGCTGTAGCGCCAGGGCTTGACAAAAACACTCAATGAGAGAGAGAGAGAGAGAGGGACTGAGAGAAACAAAGAGAGCGAGAGAGAGAGAAGGAGAAAAAGATGGGAAGGGAATGGGGGGTGCAGAATGTGAAAGCAAAGGGGGAGGAGAAGGTTAGGTGTGAATTTATGCTGGAAGGGGCATGATGGAGGTGAAACTTTGTTATAAGTCATCACTTATTAAAAAACTGAGTAACACACCCTGGATAGATTTTCTAATCTGACTCTACTGAGTCTAACAAAAGCAATCATAGAAAGTGTGTTTTAATCAACTTTTTAGGTCAATTCTGAGCCATGAACTTTACATAAAGGGAGCTCATATATTATTCCTGAACACAATCTGTCAGCAGAATGGTTGCATGACTTACAAATAAAGACCATGTTGCTACACAATGCAAAGAAGTAAAACATACATGAATCTAACAGAAACAAAGCTGTAGCTGCAGAGTGCAGGAGGGACAGCACTGAATGAGTGCATACATTTATAGGCTTAACATATCCTATCTATCATTGGGGCATGAGTAACTGTGACTATAATCCTGTTTGTGTATCAAGTGGCAACCTCTGGTGTTTTAAAAATGAAACAAATGTGGAAGTGCAAAAATTTGCAATACCCTAAATGTCCACTTGAGGCTGGCTCAGAAAGCCAATATAAACACATTAACAGCCTGGTAAAAAAAATAGGCTAATTTATTAATTGGTACACACTGTCATATAACGCATCTGTTTTGATTATATTATGGCTTGGACCTTGGTCTCAAGACCATGGTCGACCTGTTTCAATTTTTAAATAAAAGTACCCTTCTTTTAATTTGAAATGTGTTTTTTGTTTCCTGTGGGGTACTGTTTACTTGGGGTACAGATGACTTTACCCTAATTGTTTGTTCTTAAGTTATATTTTTGGGCCTTTTTGACTTTATCGAATGGGACAGCTGAAGAGAGATAGGACATGTTGGGAGGAGAGAGTGGGGGGATGACATGCAGCAAAGTGCCGAGGTCAGACTGGAACACATGGCTGCTACATTCAGGACTATATCCTCCTTACGCGACATAACCGCTAGGCTATCAGCGCCTCCATCCCTAAGTGGTTGTTAAAAGGCAATCAGAGAAATCAAGCAATGAGAGAACCAGGGAGCCTGCTGCAGCTTGCATTCTGCAAACAACCAACAGATAGAAAAAGGGGAGTTTGATTACAGTACAAAGAAAACTCAGCTTGTGTCTTCAGACTGAAAATGAATGAAATAGTGATAGAAAAAAAGTAAAATCAACGTTTGTGTAAACAAGGGAGCCAATGTCAGCCACACAGGGCTTATTCATGCAAACATCTTGTCATATTTACTGTTACATAATGCCGAATCATAAAATGGAGATAAAAAAAAACAAATAATATATCAAATGTCAGCATCCCAAACAACAATACAGCTCGAGCTGTCTCTCTATTACTTCTGGATTGTATTGCTACTTACCATAAAGAAGCTAATAAAGTCATGATCTGTTAGTATTACCATCATACAGTGACGTGATAAAATTGTCCATCTGTGGTACCATGTCTGTGCTAGTTGCTTGTACAATACATGTGTTAAAGCGTACATATACAGTATAAAGTAAAATTTACCACAGAAAAATACTGGACCACAGATCTTGAAAAGCCTCTGTAATCATTCATATTAAAGTAAAGCTATTGGAGTCTTTAGTTGGTTATGAAAAAGACTGTAATAAATACTGATGCCTCCATATGACCAAATACAAAGAAGAACATCAGGTTGAATACTGATTATTTCTGCATAAATAGATTTTTAAAATGCATGTAAACACTGCTGCAGGGAAGAATTCATATGAGGAGGTGAACTGCTTCCTGCCAAAACACCTTTCTTTTCTCAACTTTATATGGCAAAAATATACAATGAGTAATATGTTAGACTTTTAAAAGACACCATTAACACAATCAAACATGTTTTGTATCTTTAATCACTTCAGAGTTCAATATTTTTGTTGGTTTATTCAGGATCATTCTCCATTGCCTCAGAATTCTTGAATACAGGCTGACAATAAGGCAAACATTATGCACACAGATAACTTGTGTCTTAAGTTCTTAGTACTGCTTTCCTGACCTTTTAATGATCATTTGGATAGGATAGGATAGAATAGTACTTTATTGATCCCCTGAGGGGAAATTTGGGCATTATTTGCAAGAATATTTCTCATTGCATAGTACGAGACAGTCACGAGATGATAACATCGCTGCACTCTACTTTTGCACTTTGTCAGCTTTGTTCACTGTATCTCTGATGACTGCAATTTCACATTAACAGCTCTATAATGTAATTTTCCATTACAACTGTGATCACCGTACTGCACATTTTACACCTATCCCAAAAAGAAAAGTTTATATTTCAGTTGAGTTTTAATGGACTTTAGTTTCAGTCATATTGGAGACTGTATCTCTGTATTTGCTATTGCAACACTACAAGTTTGATCCAAGTTTGGGATCAATAAAGTCCATCCATCCATCCATCCATCCATCCATCCATCATGAGATAGATAACTTCCTAATAGAATCAAATGAGTCATTTCTTTTCCACTGTAGACTCAAATGAAAGCACTTTAAAGACTCATTTCCGTGAACTAAATTATTAATATTAAGTTTTTTTTCTTTCTTTGTGAGGGTTTAAAAAGGATCAACTTGCCCTCACCGCCTCCCTTACAGTCCGTCTCTGACGCGTCCACGCGGAGAGCGCTCATAATATAAAGCACCTGCAGACACGCAACTCATTGACAGCTGATGCCAATCACAAAGTGCGCGTCTTCTTTCTTTTTATATTGGGCTTTACCTACATGGTGTTCGTACTGAAGGCTGTTCAGATAAGTACGTTAAGCACTTATCTGGAGGATTTCTTGCTTCTTGTTTATGTTCCACAAACTTCGGGGAGCAGTAGAGACACCAGCAGCCACCGCCACACACGCGGGACTATTTTTTTCTTTTCGTTATTGAAAACAGTAAACAGTGGAGGTTTTACAGTGCAGGAGACAGGCGGACAGGGTCGAGTGTCTCCCCTCCCCTGCGCACCGCGCCACTATACCTGGCGAGAAGATTTGGATTAAGACTAATGAACTGGGGGGTAAATAATCTCCACGGGACGGTTCACTGGACACAACACGACTCATTGTCTCGCTCTGGGATTCTTTTGTGCACCTTTTTAAAAAAAATATATTTTAACGGCTGAAAACGATGTCTGTTCGGGGACACTTTGTGGCTTTTTTCAAATGCACAGTTATTCTCTCTCTGAGGATGTTGCTTATTGTGCCTGCAGGGTTGCCTGTCCGCAGCCAAGGGGATTCTCAATCCGACAACGAAGTGATGGACAATATCACCGTCCGACAAGGAGAGGACGTCTACCTCAGGTGAGTTGATTTTTTTCTTAAACATTCTCCTGCTCCTGCTGCTGCTTCTGTTTTTTTTTTTTTTATTCCCTGCAGGTTTGAAGTATTGGGGGGGAAACAGAAACATGACGGAAGTGTGCTGTCTGTTTGTATCACGCTCCCGCCGTTGAAAAAAAAAAAAAAGGGGGGGGGATTTCAGAGGATTAGTATCTGGAAAACACTCAAACCAGAAGCGATACTCTACTAATCTGTAGCAGCTGTTAACCACAGATTTAGCGGTTTTAATTGTTGTGTGACGGTGCAGAACGGAAGGTAGAGTGTGTTTCGAGTACTGTTTTTTGCTCTCTCCCTCTCCTTCTGCTAAGGGCTGAGACATTGTGTTAGAGGTGGAAAAACAGAAATAAACAACATCTTCAATAAAAGCGCAGTGTATATTGTGCGCGCAGAAAACGGATTGAGCCGTTATTCCTGAAGACAGGAGATTGTCTGCGCTGACCTTTCCCCTCCTCTGCGCCCTCAGAGGCTTACTGGAAACAGGGGGGATTTGTGTTGCTTTCAAGTGCAGTAGGAACGTCCTGTATGACATAAGCAGTAATCACAGTGGCTAAAGGAAGGGATTTTCTTTGATGGCACAGTTGATATGTCCTGTGTGGGAGGCAGAGGGCACGAGGAGCATTGTTAGCAGGGGATTCTCATTGTTCAGGAGTTAACAGTGTGAGTTAGTTTGAGTGAGCGCCTGGTACAGGCCATCTCCATGACACCTTGTCTGACATTGTGTCCAGTAATGTCCAGTATTTTCACTTGATGGATTTGAGGTCACAGTAAAATCTCCCTGGTCAACATACTGTAATACTCCAGTGTTGGAAAGGCTATAGGGGTCACACAAAAATCTCATGGTCAAATTCTTCTTTATTGTTGTTTGTAAGGTTGTCAAAACTTGTTTAAAAAATCCATACAATCTCAGTATTGTTATGATAAAGTATAAAAACCTCTGGTCTTCAGTCATATTTTAACCAAAAGCACCCACAAGGAGTTTGCTTGCAATTTTTGTTTATTAAGAACATAAATTACTCAATGTTGGGTACCCAGGAGTTTTATTTTTGTTACTGTGATACCTTTATATTCATTTTTAAGCTTTTGTTTTTCTGCTTTAAAAATCTGTGACAACTACAGTTTAAAATTAACTCTCTTCAGCTGAGTAACAACATTTCTTTGTGAGTGATTTGGTGGCCATGCATTAAATATGATAAAGTCTGTATGAGTGGGCACTCACCAACAAGATGAAAGCAAAGCATGACCACAGAATGTGTGAATCAATTACCACATGTAGGTAGTCATTTCTTTTTTTTAAAGATTTATTTTTGGGCTTTTTGTGCCTGTATTGGAGAGAAAGGACAGTGGATAGAGAGAGAGAGAGAGAGAGAGAGAGAGAGAGAGAGAGAGAGAGAGAGAGAGAGAGTGGGGAATGACATGCGGTAAAGAAGGTCGAATTTGAACCTGGGCCTGACTAATCTTCATCCCACACCTACCCAGTGCCAACAGTTCGAGGCATTACAGTTCACTATATAGAAATAATCAGTCTTTTGATGAATGTCTTGTTGCAGCCTAACTTTTGTTTCGCAACATGTATATTTACACATAAATGTTAAATCTTCAGATATCATCAATAAAATTAATCTCTAGTTGAGCTGACTTTAATGCAGGTAACAACTTCTGTACATTAGAAGCTAGCTCATATGTGGGTGAACAAGCCCTCTCCAGGAGCATTCTTTAACAGTGCTAGCACTGCCAGCCTTCGGTCCTCCTTGTATTTGAACATCCACATTGCTTGATGTAGTTACACATGTCCTTGGTCAATTTGCCAATTCAACTAGACATAGCCTACATTTCTAACTCAATTTTCTGGACCCAAATACTGCCAAACTGTGCTGATCCTACGAGATGCTATCTGTTTTGTTTACATCAGGGTGGCAGAGCAAGGAGAGCAAGCCAATTAACTACAGCCAGTCTATAGCTACAGCCCTGGCTAGTGTTGGTCGGCTGTGTTGCAGTTTGAGACCTAATTTGACTGGCATCGAGGGCCAGCACACAGAAATATTAATCATTTTTTCTGACTAGTAGTTCTGGTGACTACATCCACACAAATTAAAAAGGAAATAAAAATTCCAAATGTCAACATGATATCCCTCAATATTTCTCTATGGGTAACCTGTTCTCCCTCACACCAGGGCCACCCATAAAGGGGGAAGCTTTCTGTGACCCAGTTGCATGGGAATGGTCCATGGAGGTTAGCACAAACTTGGTCCAATCTTATTTTACACCTGTTGCTCCAGTAAAACTTAATTAATCTTTCATTTGTTTTACCCTGAGGGACAGTGAGTGAGCATAATATATATCCCTGTAACATTCAAAATAACAGAGATCAAACAAACCAACAATCAAACAACAGGTTTTACAACAATAACTATGATGTAAATTATGCCAAACAGAACAGAGACAGGGCAGTAATAAAACAGAATATTTAAATATTCTGTTTGGATGTCCTAACTGAAGTCGTACCAAAGCAGCATTTTGTAATTGAGACGTGTGGGATATGCTGACATTATACTGTATTAGAAAGACTGCGATCAATATTTACTACAATGATCTATTCAATTACATTTAGCAGATGCTTTTTTTTCCAAAGAGACATAAATTTTAGAGTAAGTGCGGCACAAACAAGGTCCTCAAAAGGAGGAAAACAACGTCAGTAAGTGGCAACAAACGGCTTCAAGTCCGATCAGACACAGGGGCTGACAGGCAGAGCACAGAGGCAATGAAGAGAAGGGACGGGAAGTACATTGTTTTTCATCATCAACAACAGCTACATCAACTTGATATCATCCTCATCATGAATATTCAACATTAACAACATCCTAATATGATCATCATACCATCAACAGTTGCATCAACATCATTCAGTGAGTAGGTGTTGTATGTGTAATACAGCGAGAATGTCTCAGGTTGGCTGTTATTGTGCATCACACAACCTGTAGCTACTAACATTCAGCCCTGAACTAACCAAGGGTCCTGCAGTTTGAATGGCTGAGGTTAAGCACAGCATGCACAGCTGCATTTAAGCGTAAATATCAGTCCAATATTGATTTTGAATAGCTATGTAAACAGTTTATTAGGACTGTTATCTGCACATATCATTGGACGTGGAGATTTAAAGATATTGAGGGGAGACTAGGGGGGCACTCACACTAAGCAATGCAATGTTTTTTTTTGTTTTAACTGTATTGCTTTGTACAGCACTTTGATTTAAAGCACTTTATAAATAAATGTATTATTATTATTATATTAATCCGTAACATGCCCAAGCACGCTTCACCCCTAAAGTCCAGTTTGTTTAACTAGTGTGAGTGCTCAGGAAGCGGTGCGCTACCACAGATTCAGTAACGTAGCTGTCATGTTCTCCGTGTTGTTCTCCGATGTGTGGACGCAGACTCTACATCGACATCGCGTCCCTTTTATGTTTTTTTATGTTGTTTTTTTCCAACTCTGCCTATCTTGTAAAGTAAGCACTCTTCATAATTACGTAAAGACATTCATGTGTTGTATTAGGACGTTATGCACAAGAGTTTACCTTGCTCAGGCCTGGTTAGCCCTGGAGCAGTGTGAGTGCAGGCCAGTGGGGGAATGGGGAGGAAAATGTTAGAAAATGCTGGTGTGAGTGTGCCCTTCAGAGCTTAAAGAGGAAGTGACCTGGAGGTGTTTACCAGGAGGAGGAGGAGAGTCAAACTTTTGGGATTAAAAGTTGATTTATCTCCACTCTCTCCTCTCAATCTGTCCGAGGTAGTAAGAATGAGAGGTGTTGGATCTCCACTGCTGGCTGTTATTTTGTAATTAGTCTCTGCCTGCCCATGTTGACTGCAGACTGGAGAGGAAGTGGAGGCTTTCTTTACATTACTGATGCAACAGAAAAGAGAGGAGGAAAAGAGAACATTGACAGAAAGAACCACATTCTCTGTCACAGATTTGTGTTAGCTGCTGAGCTGAACACAAACACAGACACACACAGTCAGGCACAGTTAAAGCCTGCCCCCCCTCTAATTATAGGAGCTATTCCTGTGATCGGTCTAGTGACCTAAATCCATGTAATGTAATTATTAGCTTTCTAGCGATCCTGCTAATGCTATAGCTAACCTAAACATCAAGTAAACAATGTTTTGAGACTAAGTTTGTAGGTTTCATATCAATGCAGAAGCCTTCATTTGAACTCACTGCAAAGCAATCTCCTGTGTCACTTTGACAACACTGTGTAGGAGCTCTCTGACTTTGTTTTTTTTTGTGTTGCCAGGGACGACCGCTGTGCATGTCAGTGCAGGTGACGTCCACTCTGTATTTACAAAGAACAAAGACGATCAGATTAAACAGAGGGAGAGAGTGCAACTTCAGTGTTTGCTTAGGATTTCACTCTATATTCTCACAGCTAACATTTGTTTTCTGCTGTGTTGATGTTCAAAATCGTCATGTATATTGAATGTTAAATAATCTCCATTTAACAGCATGCTAACCACGATGGAGACCTCCATGAGGCTGATGACAACATTACATCTTTTCAAAAGATTTAATCAGTTAAATATATCGTTTGTCTGTAGCTGACCTAGGATTTTATCAGTGAAATCATTAATGGTTGTTCAATATGAACTTTGAATCAGAGACTGTATAAAAATAGACGTAGTCTCAGTGACGTCACTCAAATTCACTTTTTTCTGAAGAGGTGTTATAAAGCAGAAACATGGTAAATGCAATACTGTGAAATGTTATCTCATCCTATTTTTCAATCAATCTAGAAATAGTCCTTCTGGAAACATCTATCCCACGCCCCTAATTATGCAATTAGTGGCCTCTGCCACATGCTAGAGCTCAGGAAAGTGAGACGCTGTTTGTTGTGATCTGATCTTCCCTCCTATTGGACCTGCTGAGGTGTTGTCATGAAGCACTGTGTTCAAGTTAACAAAGCTTTAACTGGGGTG